ATAAAAACTCTAAGTCAACTGAGCCATAAAAATTTCTGAATTGACTTAGATTACAACCCAGGTCTCCAGAGTAACATGTCATATCTTCATCGTGCATCAGATCGTTACATTCTGAATCTTATTAACCGGATATGAAGTTAATTTTACGCTTCTATGTAATGTCTGATATTTCTGTGTATAATACGGTGTAATACATAAATAAATATCAGATATATCAGACAAGTGTACGTATATAATACACTTATATATGCTACCTATACAGTATATATAAATAGTTAGATAATTAACTATAAGGTTATAAGATATATATATGTATATATGTATAGGCCTATACTTATATACACCAATATATAAGTGTGTAACAGTAATATATATGGTAACTAAATAATTTCAATTTATTAATTTGAGATGTATGAAATTTATACTGACATGCCATTAAGAAAGAAACACCAGTCTAATAGCGTGTTGCTAAACCTTTTGCTTTTACAACTGAAGAGAGTCCACAAGTTAGAGAAATGTAGTAATCTATGCTACTTCATTTGCAAACCATAATTCCTCTAGATTAGTACGAGAAGGAACTTTTTCCAAATGGCTGTTTCAACAGTGTTCCAGAGAAGTTCGATGGGGTTCAGAGTTACTAGAAGGACAGATAAAGACGTAAAATCTGTAGAATGTTCCTCTAGTCATATCTGACCCTTCAAGCTCTGTTTGGAATAAACCATTGCCATCCGAGGCTAGGACCATATTAAAAGGAGACACACCACATGCTGGTAACTATTTCCAGTATTGTGGTATTAAGACACACAAGAGAACCAATACCTACCCAACTACAATACTACACAATAGAATACTATTCCCACCAGTTCTCACATTCTGCTGGTTTGACAAGTCCACAATTTCACAAAATTTTCTCCTTATATAAAGGCCTACCTACTTAGCAGCATAAAACTGATGAAATATGGAATCATGTGACCAGTACGACCGTTTTCGGTTGTCCAGTGAAGATATTCTCTAGCTGAGGATAGCTTTATGACACAGTGACGTTAGCAGAGGCAGATGATTAGAACAATAACTGCTCTCCAAACACACCAATCCCAGCATAGCTATATATCTTTACACAATGAGTTGACTGACAGTCACAGATACCAAGCATTAAAATTAGCTGTGATCTGGAATAATTTGACCTGATGGTTATTGATTACAATCCGTGACAGCCAAACATCATTACGAAATTTCATCCACAGGTATCATATGAGGCAGTTTTTTTTCAGATTTCACAAGTAGTAATCCTTGACGCAGTTACACGAAAAAAAAAAAATACAAATACAACAGTTATCTCGGATATAGGATAGTCCATCTGTTTTGCAATTACTATACATCCATGATTAAAGTCACATAAGACATTTATTTTATTCATTTTGATCAGGAACCATAAGTCAGTTTATTCCTGCTTGTGTAACCCGTGTTATCAAATTAATAGAGAAGAAATGGATAACTCAAAAGATTTAGTCATGACAGATGATTCTATTGCTTATGGAAGGTGTTTATATTCTTCTGGCATGTCAGTGTTTTTGGGTATACATTTAGTTACTTTGTTTTGCAAAATTATATAAACAAGACGTTGCAAGATAATCTAATCGGATTTTTTATTGTATAGATTTTTGTGGTTTTAATTAAGAAATTTAGGAAAAATTTTATTTGCAACTTGAAAGGTGCAGATTTAGAATTTTATAAGATACCAAAACTACCGACTTAACGGTGATGCTGTTACAACTTTAACTTTTAAATTTTCTATTTAATTTATTCTTCCTCAATTAGTTTATTGCAATAGTAATAATTTTATTACAAATAGTTTTATAATGATATTACAGATTCATAAGCGTAATTTATTATCTGTACTTCGTATTTCCTATTTAGATTACAGTATGTAATTGGAAAGATTAACAAAATGCAGGTTTAATCTCCACGTTAACAAGCAAATTAATGTAATCTTGCTTTCTCTTCTTTTTTATTTTTATTTTCTCTATAAACCTTCACTCGTAAGTTTAAGAATTTTAATCAGCACTTTTAACATTGAAAGGTTTTCGATGACGATACAATATTATTAACTCATTTTAAAAAAAAGAAAAGAAAGAATTACGGCATCCCTTCTCTACATAATAACACTTTAATTTTGTTAATAATCTGTGTTTATTTACATTGCCAATGTTATGTATAACAGTCCTACGAATATTATAATAAAGGCTAGTTTAAAGATGGTGGTATAATTCATTATCTGGGTCAGTAATGCGCTTAACGGACGCACAGAGCTTCAAGTTTTTTAAAGCGATTCTATTATCATTAGAAGGTAAAAACACAAGTTTTAGAACCCCATGTGAGAATTTTCGGAAATACTATGAGTGCAGATTCATTTTCATTGCCGACGATATTCATGTACTGTACAGAACATAGGACTACATTTGTCGACGACCTTTCTGACAGTGGATACATTAGTCACATGCAATGGCCAGCAAGATGTTTCAATCTAAATCATACACACCATGTGTGGGATATTATAGGGAGACGAGTTGCAGTCTCTACCAAGAACACTTCAGGAGATTCAAGATGCTCGTGTTCAAAAATGAATTTTGAACCTAACAGAGATGATAAAATAATCACTCTGAGCAATAGCTTTGCAGCGTGTGTAGTGTGCGTGCAGGATGCAACAAACGCCACATTAATTAATCATTTTACGAGCAAAAGTTTTTATGACAGTGTTCTGTGCTTGTGGCTTTTGTTCTGGCTTAATTTAAGTTAAAGTTTTGCTTTTGAACTATTTTGTTTCCTTAACATACAAGCAGAACCTTATTTTATTTAAGTTTCGAGTTGTTTTGATCAGTAGTTTCTGAGATGTAGGCCTTATTAATGAATATTATTTTTTGGAGATGAGTGTATAATACAACTTCTTTACGAAAAGTACTAAGTTTATTGAAAATTAACTACAGTATATATATAATAATTAATTGGTTAGAATAACAACTTTTCGAGCCTACTGAAGATATGTATATGAGAATATTCAGTACCGGGAAGAATTTTGTATAGCTTAATGAAACAGCAAACTGTTTTAATCGCGCACTTCTTCACCAATAAAGAATACATACAGCATAATAGTACGAACTTTAATCAACAGAAATATTATTTGGAAATTTTAGACCTTCAGACATATAATTAATTTAATGGCTAAATGAATTATTAGTAAAAATTATGATATACTTATTATACTTAAAATAAAGTTAATGTGTACCGTATAAATGGAAAGATTAGTAAGGATTATTAAATCATATTTATTATTATATTATAAAATTATTTTACATTTAAATTTAACATCAATCAAATTGCAGATTATCTCGCGTAACCCCTAAAATTTAATACGCAATCCAAGATTGTGTTAATTCTTCTAAAGAATTAGTAAAAAACAGCTGTGTCGCGTTATCACAGCTACTTTCCCAGACATGAAAACATACTTTTATAATAGTATTTTAACATAAGAAATCGTTACGTCCCGAGACTTATTTTCCGTTTTGTAGAGGAATCTTGGATTTTGTTGTATTAGGGAAGTGTTTATATTTTTTAAATATATACTAATTCGCATCAATTCTTTTGCATCAGAAAGCCAACATGCAATAGTTATCAAATTCTGCATGTGGAATGGTAGTGAAAAAGTAAAACAATTTCATGACAAATATTACAAATCAGAAATTGGCAAACCTAGTCTAGCAATGAATGCAAACTGATCAATGTCGGAGTTGGCTTTATAACTTATTAATATTTGACAGCCGGATGGCTGAGCAGTCAAGGTGGCAGTCTACCATTCTGGGGTACCCAGGATCGAATCTGGACAGGTCAAATAATCCCCAGAAATTTTTCAGGGGGTGGTCCATACAGATATGTCGGACCCTGTCCCTCCCTCCCTCAACACCTGGCCACCCCATTGTGGGCCTGGCTGAATCTATAATGGGCTTGCAAAAATAAGCCCCCTTACTGCCCACAGGGAAGAAAGAGTTAACATTAAAAAAACTGCATTAATATGAAACAAACTGTAAAACCATCTCCTACATTGATCAGTTTGAATTAATTGCTACACTAGGTTTACCAATTTTTGACATGTAACATTTGTCATCAGGGCTGACCCAAGTTTTTGGCACCTTAGGCAAATTTCAATCTTGGTGCCCTCCCTTATTACTATTAGACACATTGTGCATTGAATAACCTGTACACCTACATGTGACAGCTCTGGATGTATACATAATATGTGTAATAAAGGAAAATATCAATTATTTTAAACTGATGCTGGCTAGGGCACTCTGAAATTTCTATGCCCTAAAACAGGGCTTCTTAAACTTTTTTTACTCACGACCCCATTTATGATTGTGATTTTTTTCGCGACCCCCAAAAAATATAAAATAAAGATATACAAATTTGCGAAAACAATAATGGTGTACTACCACAGTTCACTCTTGTATTACAATGGAACAAAGACAACTAAATACACTGAAAAGCGACAACACTACACTAATTCACACTACAATCAGTGTTGAACATCACACTAGAATCATTGTCTCGCTGCACCAGAAGTGACACAAAGCGCAACTCATGAACCTATGGCACAAAGCGTGCCATTTTCAAACTCTCACAAATTATTTTCAATATTTTGCATTAAAATCTCACGACCCCAAGATTTCTCTAAGCGACCCCAAATGGGGTTGCGACCCATAGTTTAAGAAGCCCTGCCCTAAAAGACTGCCTTGTGAGCATATAGCAGGGCTGGCTCTGTTTATCATAAAACTGTTCTTTAATAATATATCCTTGTGTTCTAATATTATAATAAATTTTTTAATTTTTCACTATCATTCCACATGCAGAATTTGATTACAATGTTGGGTTTAAGGTGTATCAATTTTATTACAACTGATTTTTATAAAAAATTCAAAAGGTTATCATAAAATGGATTTACAACTCACCAAATAATCATCTGAATTGATTATCGTGTTATTTCTAAACCATTTTATTTTTGGATGAGGAATTCCATCGGTTTTACAATTCAATGTTAGAGGTTGATTCTTTATTATATTTGGATTTCTTTGTTCGCTGTTCGTGTTCACTATCATTGGAGGTACTGTGAAATTTGAAATAAAAAGATTTATATTATTAAAATTTATAAAATAATTATAAATATTTATACCAGAATTTATCTATTTTAATCAAAAGATTAATTCTTGTAGGTAACCGTGTTAAGGGTTTACATACCAATTACCTCCAATCTCGTGTCATGTTCAGAGTGGCCAGCGATGTTACTGGCTAGGCATTTATAAATGCCACCATTGATCGGTCGAATTCTACGAATGGTTAGAGTGGATCGGTTGGAAGAGAGGGTGATTAAAGGATGACTAGATAATGAGATGGGATAGCCATCTTTCTGCCACATGATAGCAGGACTGGGATTAGCAGTTTCCAAAGGACAGGCAACAGTAACGGTCTTACCTTCCATTTCTTGAATTATGTCATTACTTTTATTTTTATTCATTGTTGGAGGAACTAATACAAATAAAAAATGCTTTTAAAATCTATATAGTTAGCCATATAATTTAATTTTAAAATAATATTTTTTATGATAAGTCATGTAAAAACTTTTTATTCATGTATTTAATATTTTTGTACAGTTTATAATTTGGCTTTAGTCTTTTAATTAATCATATACATAATGCACAATTAGTCATATTTCATTTCTGTCCACAAATTTTACTCTAAAATCTTTGTTTTATAGACATTAAAATGTTTTTTATGTTTCAAGAGACCTTGGAGTAGTGATGATTTAAAATTTAGTGCATAGACATGTTAATATGTTAAAATAAAACTTTTATCAAGTATATTTAAAGACTTATTTAGGCTAAATTTAGGCACAGACATGAGCTATCTGCCTTAACTCCAACATATATAAGGAGGCCCTAATAAATGTAAAAGAAAATAACATAAATTTTACTATGTAAAAAGTAAATAAATATCAGTAATACAAAGGTACTCAGCAGTATTAGTATATACAGTATAGTCCTGCAAACTTCACTTAATGTGGACTGAGAAAGAGAAGACAAGTTACTGAAAATGATGAGTTTTGTGGCATAGCAATGATGCTAATCTAAATAGCAGAATTTTTGTAAAGGTGTTACTGTATATGTGCAAATTCATATATGTATTAACTGCTGGTATATATCAATAATAAATAATTCTATTTATTTACATTAAAATTTAACTACAAATATTGGCTACTTTTAAGTTAGTGACATTTGTGTTGTGGCATTTTGCAGAGGCACCTTGAAAAAAACGGTTATATTAAAAACCTTGTTATATTCTTTGTTAATGTGAAATTGATAATGATATTAAGTGTTGCCAGTGAAGAACAACAACTTATTAGATCCTAATGTTAAGTTACAGCAGTAAAATTATATTACGTGTTTTTATTTTTACCTTCTTGGCTGTTATATATAAAGGAAAAGTATGACAATCAGTTGAAAAATGATACACCAAAATTTTTACATTTTTGGACTCGGGGGACCTTGGAATGTCAAGAAATGCAAAAAAATTTGGGGACAATTTCTGTATGTATAGATGTTAGTGTGTGTTTGTGTGGCACAATTTTGTTCATCCTCTTTGAAGCTTAATAACAACTATGTTTTTGTTGAAATTTTGCAGGGAAGTTTGTTGTGTATTTAGGGGGATTGGTAGTATTAAATTATAGTGATTAAAGGTCGAGGGATGGGGAGATAAAGGGGATCATGTGTGTCTCCAGTAGGGTTGGACTTGATGATGATTTTACTCANAATATGAAAGACTAAGTGCAACGTTGTAACAAATTTCATTTACGTCCAAGTTAAGAATGATATGACTCATCGAAAACTGCGCGAACGAACATAAACAGTGGCGTAATCGTCCGTTATCGACCGACTTCAGACCAATTTCGAATTTGTAAACTGTCATTGCAATGGACAGTTGACATTGTGCTCTGGAGGAAACAATTTGTATCACTCTTGCTACGGATATAATTTGCAATCTGGAATTTTTTGCATACCTTTTTAACATGTATTTAATTGCGGCTCGCGAAAAACTTCAAATTTTGAAAAATGGCTCGGACTATCAAGGAGCTTGGCCACCCCGGATATAGAGTTTGCGCACGACATATTTTACGTTATAAATCGACCATTATAACTTTATGCATAACGTACTGTTCTAAACATAAAAGTTTCACGTTAGAAGTTTATTTTATAAAATTGTGAAACCAATCATATTTGATCCTTTATTGACTTCAACGTATCGTTATCGTTATGCACGCCTACATAAGAACGTGCTTGGTGTATTGTTTTTGCTTCTAAACGTGTTTGCAATCTTGTTTTTAGTTATCGCCTGTTAATTATTTAATTGTTAATGCAACGACATAGTTTTCAATATTTCCAGGAGAAAACAAAACGAGAGCTTCGGTGGTATTCATGTTTATTATATTTTTACATGGGCTTGGTGCGCAAGCGCTATCCAATGTTATGTGTTTATAATTATAACGCTCGGTAAATATAACAAAATATCTCGTGCTAAAGTCTATATTATAAGTTTACGTTAGGAAATAAAATTGTAATGGTAGCCAATCAAAGTAACCGTTTGCTTAAAACGGAACCAATAAAATGGAGCGAAACGTTAACGTTACTTTTTCAAATATGGAGACTAAGAAAAATAAAAAAAAAATAGTTTTTTTTACGAACTCGAGAGATTACTTAAAATTATGTAAATGAAGTAATCAAGAATGAACATTCTGCATTATTTCAAGATATACTAAGGTAAGAAACAGAAACTACATTCAATATTGTAATAAAAGCTGATATATATTTGTATTTTTGGATAGAAATTTCATAATTCAATTATCAAAAGAAAGTTGCTCGATCGAATAAGGAAATTATGAAATATAATGATTTTAAGGGCTCGAAGAGTGGTCGAGAACGATTGAATATCGTCAAAAATTTATCTTTCAAAATATAACGTTATAACGAGTTATTACCTAAACGCTATTTATGATGTTCAACGTTAGACTATTCATAAACCAATAAGAGATATGGAAAATACCAATGCACAAACTTGCTATTATCATAAATTATTTGCCACGCTATAGAATATTTCATTTGAAGTATATTCTGACACATGGAATTGTAAATTGGAAATTTGAAATAAAACATAAATTTGATCAAGTAATTGTTCAAAATATGAAAATGTTTTTCATATCGCACACATATACACACTTATTTATCAAATACTTTTAGTAAAATAAAATGATATCGTTACAACTATTATTCAAAAAATATAAACTTTAAAAATAAGATTAAAAAATTAAATAATATTATTTACTTATAAGTCTCTCAGAATATTTTAAATATATTCATAGTAAATCTGAATTTGTGAAGTAATTTTTAAAAAGTATGGTACATTAAAACACTACAAACATTCCAAGCATAACAACACAAAATTGAATGCATCTACATTCTCTTGTAAACAATAAAAATTACAATATATACAATTATTGTACGCCATTGTAAGCAATATTTTAACAATGATTAGCATTTCTAACATTTGAAAAATATGGAAAAAAATAAAATAATGGATTTACTTTTTTTTAACTCAGTAATCTCAGTAAACTTAATAAACGTTCTGTAGAGATAATGTAATCTGAAGATAATCATAGATTGAAGAAAACCATATGTCCGACCAATAATCGAGTGTCCCACAGAAGAAGACTTTATTTTAGGAAAAGAAAAACACCTGTTTCTTCATAGTATTGATAAATTGTTGTACAAAATTACAGAACTATAGAAACATTGCGTTATTTAATATTAATCCTGATAAGCGTTAAATAAGCTAATACTATTGGCTTCTATTCCACAATGTATTACAATAAATGTTATTTTTATTTACTAAATTTATTAATTCGATTTATATAAAATTTATGTAATCCATTAACTTAATGAAAATTTCACTGCATTTAGGATATTCTCGACTAAATTATAATACATTGTTAGTACTGTATTTATAAATATAGTGTTTTATATCGTACGATACTGTGATAACAATAAGAGTTCTTCCAATTAAATTTCAACAATAATGTAATCAATAATTTAACCATAATTGTTTTTCTACAAACTTTTCATTAACTTTTTATTATTTTCTATTGTTATTCTATTTGTTGGACTACAATTTAAAAAACAAATTGTAGACCTATAAATTTCCACTATTGAGAACGGAGTTATATAGATAAAAGTTGGGACCAGATGTGAAAAGAGTAGGGGAGGAAGCCCCGATTATATCTATACACTAACGTCTGGTTTGCACCAGAAGTCGCATTATTTTAATTCAAAACTTCCCCTGAAAGGAGTTATATTGATGACAGGCACCACTCTATTGTAACAGGAAAATTATGATACACAGTAGAACTCATTACTAATTTCAAGTGGAGAGTATATGTTTTAAATTAAATAAATTAAAAATATAATTAAAAATTTCATTCCGGCATTGTGACAATGTCACAATAAATAATTATTCATCACTGTTTAAAATTTGCTTTTGAATACGACGAAATAAAACGTTAATAATTTACGCGTTATTTTTGTATTCTGTCATGTAGATTTCATACTATAGCAAGAAAATATTCGCTGTAATTTTTTTATTCAGATTTTCTTGGATAAGTTTAAATTATATTGCAGGAAATGCCATATGAAAAATTTGTATAAGTTAAACTTTAACAAAAATTACAAAAAAGAAAAGTAATTTAATTATAATGAACGGTGTTTTTCCGAGTTTTTTCATATTAATGTCTGATGCAGTATACTATACACTAATTTCAAATTATCACAAGCAAAAAACTCAGATTTCCAACGATTTTCTATCATAAATATTTTTGTAATGCATTTATATTGATAAAATTGATCCCATTTCCTAATATTAACGTTGGATCAATAAAATCTTTATTCTCTGATAAATAAAGATTTTGTAATACTTTTGGAATACTAAATGTTTCAAAGTGTTGCTCTTTTTTTTCATAAAATAAAATGTTTGAGTAAAAGTTCATACTAGGTTATATGTTACATAAATATTAACATTTGTCATGCGTAATATTAACATTTGTCATGCGTATTACATGTATTTGACTTTAGAAAAATTTTAGAATACAGCATTTCATATGGGGAAAAAAAGTTATTTCGAACAGAAATAATTGCGAAAAAGCATATGAAACAAGTAATTCTATTGATTTTATAGAACAGACTATCTTCATTTTATTTCTTTCATATTAGAAATAGATACCAGGGAAGCCAAAGAAATATTTGTGCCGAGATTGATTAATAGTTTGGTACCCTTTGTACTCACATACAGCAATGCTACTATCAGGTTAGTTTTAAGCAGTTTTGTGGCCCTCGGCCTAATTTCATTAGAGATATGGAACGAAAACATGAGTTATGAGCAATGAGATGAGTCACTAAGTAAGCAAAAGTGATCGGAAGATGAACCATCTAGATGAAACCATTTTTTTCCTATTAAATATTATAGAATT